AGCGCGCACCATCACCTTGACTCAGTCACACTTGGTGCGCTAGGTCCTTCAGAGGTTCGGCCTTCAGTTCTCCTCCGCACAGCCCACTCCTCTGCCTCTGGACCACAGGCTCTCCACTCCAGTTCGTGAGGAGTCAGTAGAGCCCAGTGGTCCTTACGCAGAGCTGGTGGGTTGCCTCATGTACCTGATGACTTGCACTCGCCCAGATCTCGCATACCCTCTCAGCATCCTGGCTCGCTTTGTGGCCGCTGGCAGACACCGACCCCAGCACTGGTCTAGCGCTAAGAGGGTTTTGCGTTATCTTGCAAGTACATCCGACATAGGGTTAGTGCTAGGAGGACGTAGGCCAGTGGTCCTTACTGGACACACAGACGCTTCTTGGGCAGACGACGCCGAGACCCTCAGGTCCTCGCAGGGCTACTGCTTTAGCCTTGGTTCAGGTGCCGTCTCGTGGAGAGCTACCCGCTCCTCGTCTGTTGCCCAGTCCAGCTGTGAGGCACCACCCTGAGCTGCTTCTTCCCTTGTTAGGCACTGCCCCTATATAGTCTAGGGGGTGTGTCAAACATAACTTGTGTTGTTATTGTAGACTATACAGGTTTGTGCCTTAGAGGGTACAACACACTAGTCTATATTGCACTGTATCTTCCTATTCTAGTCATTCTCTCTTTCCAACAGTTGACTCCTTTTGCAACCCCTTATACCGTAAACCCCCGGATATATGACCCTAGGGTCTTGAATCACACCCTGGAGAATTTAGGGGGTGGGTCTTGAATGAGGAGTTGCGAATACGTTACCCGAGACTTAAGTTGTACGCCTATGGAATGTGTAGTTGGAAGTGTATTCAGCGTCCCGTTATCAAACCAATCCACAAGCCTCGACTTTGAGCTCTTTCGGTTGTGGTGCATGGTAGTTTAGATACATGCATGTGCAGATTTGGCATCTGCCAACATGTCTCCATCAGCCGAAAAACAGCCAATAGAAGAACGCTTCGGCGGCACAGCTACCAGCAGGGCGGAAATATTCCTGCACCGGCATTGCTGTCGCTGGCAGGTGGGTGCTCTCAAGATGACTCGTGCAACTTCACAGGTGCCGACGGCTTGGATGCCCTACTATGAGCATCGACGGTTGTGGAACATGCTGCGTGGTCCACCACGGCGACGCGCTGCTAGCCCTCGTGCCATGCAGCACTCCACGACCAGTGCTGTGGCGAGGTTTTCCTTGGCACCTTCAAGGCGGGCTTCATTGGGGTGACTTCCTTGTGGTCACGTTATGTTTCCTCTCCTGCTCTCACGGCCTTACTGCTCTATCGTCTACCGTTCTTGTCACAGAATCGAATGTGTCGAGGAAAGATTCCACTATCGATTGGTACAAGGCGCTTCTATACTTCCAGAGTACATCACGTAACCAAGTTTATCCTATCCAAGGGAATAGACCCTTCTATAAAATAGAATCACCCTGCGTATAGCCACGCGAGGCTATTGGCTTTAAGGGATTACGGCAGGATTACGCTAGATATAGCGCCCCAGTACATCCCGAGCCTGGTCGGTGATATAATTATAATAGCAGGATAAACCAAAAGATAATGGAAAATGGAGAATAGGAAACCAAATGAGATGGGATAAAAAGAGAAATGAAAAAGAAAGGAAATAAGGAAAAAGACAAGTGGTGTAACAGGGTCGTACTCTCACACTTCCCCCCCTCAAAGCTGCTTCAGGGTTTTTGCAGCTTCTTGTAGACCCCCAGCTTCCTCTTGAGCTGCTTCAGCTCCACCGATGTCTTCCCTGGGGAACGGGTAGTCGTTGTGGGCTGGTGTCGGGAGAGGACGTTAACTCCGTGGAAAGGTCGGCTTCTTTCCACATTCCTTAATTTCTTCCCCAAGTTGTCCGGTACCGGTATAATCTCCACAGCTTTCTGCTTCTTCTGGAGTCCCTCCCGAAATTTCTCCAAGGCTCTAGCCCCTCGAGAATCATAAGTTTGCATTAAAGCATCTTTATAAGATAACTTTGACAAATCCTTATAATTTCTTGGGTCTTCAAGGAGTTTCCCCGTCTCGGCAGAGTCTTTTTTCGCGGAGTCAATTTTTTTCTCGTCGATTTTCCCTGGCGAAGATTGGTCGTGGGGTGGAGATTTTCCCCCATCATTTCGTCCTGCTCGCGTCGAATCAACTTCGTCGAAGTTGATTTTCCCGGAATCCCGCGTCCGCTTTCGGATCTTTTCCTTTTTCGCCAGCTAGATCTGTAATCACCGGCGACTCCCGTTTTTTGTCTTCTGATTGGCTGAAGAATTTCCGCTACCGTTCCGTGCCCGATACTCTGCTCGTGCGGCTTTCATTTTGTTGTAGTCGAAGATTCGATGGCCCGGCACCCCGCAAAAATCACACGTGTAGTTGGTGTTTTTCGGACACGGCCGCCCGTCGAACCTATCAATGTCCATCGGGTCGGCGAACGTGGTGTGAGCCGAGCGGTCGCCCCGTCGCATATTGCCGACGTGCGCCCATCGTGTACTGCGGATGTGCGCTCGTCGTGTCCCGGCGTTGACCATGTTGAAGCGCTCCGATGCTGAAACGACGTCACTGTAGCTCGCGTAGTTTGACGCTGCTACGTGGCGTTTGACTTCGGTCTTCAGCCTGGCGAGGTATGACTGTACTTTTTCCCCTTCGGTCAGGTCGGGAATATGGTTAATAAAATTCTTCCATCTGCTGCGTGTACTGTGCTACACTCCCAAAATGTCGATGATTTTTTTCCCGGGCAAGGAAACCTGAATTTATCGGCTCGAAACGTTTCAGCAGGTCGGTGCGGAACTGCTGTCACGTGGCTTCACCATGGATGTAGGTGCTGTTACCGCCGATCCACTCAAGTGCCGGCCCTCACATCAGTGTCGCTGCGAGTCGTAAGCGTTGACCGTCCCAGACTGGCGAGCTCCATCCGACGGCTGCGAAGGAGATCTCCATGCCGGCGATCCATCTGCGGGCGTCGGAGTTTCAATCGCTCGGATCGAACGGCTCAGGTGGGTGCGGTTTCGGAGCCTCGAGAAACTGCTACGTCGTCGCCGTTGTCGAATCGTGCTGCGCGCCGGCGAGTCGAGTTACTCGCTCGAACTCGTTTCGCCAAGCTTCGCGATCCGCTCGCATCTCCTCCTGAAGGGCTGCGATGCTCGCGAAGAGCTGCTGGGTAACCTCGGCGTTGTCGAAGGTCGCCCACCTGTTCAAAACACGCGCGGGGGGGGGGGGGGGTTATTAACAAAACGCGGAGCTGGTGCTTACCAGAATCGGCGCCGAATTCGTCGCCCCCGGCGGTTTGTCGAGGCAGGTTTTCCCGCTGCTGCTGCTTTGTTGAACGTGGCCGAATGAGAAAAGCCCTGATTACCAAGTGTCATAGGATCGAATGTGTCGAGGAAAGATTCCACTATCGATTGGTACAAGGCGCTTTTATACTTCCAGAGTACATCAGGTAACCAAGTTTATCCTATCGAAGGGAATAGACCCTTCTAAAAAATAGAATCACCCTGCGTATAGCCACGCGTGGCTATTGGCTTTTCGGGATTACGACAGGATTACGCTAGATATGGCGCGCCAGTACATCCCGAGCCTGGTCGGTGATATAATTATAATAGCAGGATAAACCAAAGGATAATGGAAAATGGAGAATAGGAAACCAAATGAGATGGGATAAATAGAGAAATGAAAGAGAAAGGAAATAAGGAAAAGGACAAGTGGTGTAATGGGGTCGTACTCTCACAGTGCTCCAGATCGCGCGTCGTTCGTTCCTGCTCGATGACTGTGTCTCACTCCCAATCGCCATACCGACTGGTCAAAGAATCTGCTTAAATGGCATTCAGACGAGAGGATCCAGGTGTGCTCTAGCAAGTAAGTATAGGTTGCATGCTGCAGCTCAATCCCATCATGCCTCCTACCACTAGAAGTGGTCTTGCCGCCATAATCAAAGGTCGCACCGGCACAAGCCGTACGCTAGATCGATGGCTGTCTGTTCCTCCCGCTCTGCCAGCCCCACCCTCGCCTCCTGCCCCTCCCGCGCCGCCGGCACCTCCCGCTCCTCCCGCCCCTCCTAGCCAGTGTGTGCTTTCTTTTGGTCTCCGATACTGTACCGACCTTCAGTATTTCCCGAACCGCGCACCAATTTCGATGGCGTGTTCAAGGAGGAGGATGTCTATGTCGACGACGTCCACTTCGTCGACGGCACGGCAGACGACGACCAGGCAGATGACGCCGACGACGTCAACGACGCCGACGATGAGGACGACGGGCCCAACCCCAAAATCTGTGTTCCTGTCTACCCCAATGGCAGGCGTTCGCGCGAAGATTGGGAGGTGAACTATGATGCTTCCCCTCCTTCTTCCCGCTCCCGCCCAACAAAAGGTTTGCGGCGTTCCCGCACGGTGAAGGAGAAATTTTGTTGGCTGCAGTACATGGACGCCAACAACCTCTCCGTCCGAGCTACCGCCAAGAAGGGGGGTGTCCAGCCCGTCAGCATTCGCCGCTGGATGAAGGACCGTGACGCCTCGAGAACGCGGCCTCCTGTCGAAAGCTGCTCCATGGCATGGGCCGCCGCTCCCTATACCCAGAGATGGAAATCTGGGTTTACAGAAAGCTTCTCCACCATCGCCAACTCGGCCTCCCTGTTTCCGTCAACCTTCTCCGCCAATGTAGCCTCGGGTATATGGCAAAGAACCACCCTGGCTCGAATGGAAAGCCTCTTCGCGCTGGACGCAACGGATGCGCGCACGGTGGGGGTTGAGTGTTTGCGTGAAGACCGAAATTGGTCAACGCTTGGCGGCCGGTAGTTGGCTGTACGTTTGGTGTCTTGTGCATGTCAACATTTTCGGGTTGATTGTTTGCGTGAAGACCGAAATTGGTCAACGCTTGGCGGCCGGTAGGTGGTTGTACGTTTGGTGTCTTGTGCATGTCAACATTTTCTGACTCTCCCTGCTGTCGACACGACGAATCTCTGTATCACTCTTGCATCACAATTTCCGTGCTATGCTCAACGGACATGGGTTAATGCCAGTCCCTTTCCCCTTCCTATTCCGCATTGAGTCCTCTGGCCCTCTGCCTGGCATACATCAAGCCCAAGGCGCAGAGCTTTTGGCGCTTTTGTCGCCGCCAGGTCTTCAACAAGGCCATCCCAAACAACCACATTATCAACACTGACCAAACGGTGCTCTTCCTCGAGATGCCGTAGGAACGCACCATTGAGCACCAGGGCATTCGGACGGTGCATGTGCGGACTGCGGGATACGAGAAGGAGAGAGTCACCGTCATGCTTGCATGCACTGCCGCCGGTGTCAAGCTCCCCGCTTATGTGGTCTCCTAGTGCGTGCGGCCGCCGAAGGTGCAAGTGCCGCCAAGTGAGTGACAACAGTGCATTGCCGCCCGTCAGCTTTCCTTCAACTCCGACTTGCTTAATATGGGCACTGTCGGCTTGTAAATCCGATTCAGGTTTCACGATCCGCAACTAACCATGCGCATTTGCTTGTCGGTGTTTGTGTTCGCAAACGTCATCATCCGTGCCCAACCCAAGGGGTGGATGGACGAGGGGCTCGTCAAGGATTGGATTACGCGAGTCCTGTCACCCCACGTCGCCCCTCAGCCTGACAGGCCGTGCCCTGCAAGCCTCGTGGTCCTTGATTCTTACCGTGGACACCTGATGGACGGCGTGAAGCAGACGATGCGGCTCTTCAAAATGACTCCCACCGTCATCCCCGCTGGCTGCACCTCTGTGTTGCAGCCTCTCGACGTAGCCGTGTTCAAGTCCTTCAAAGCTGGCGTCCGCGCCGAGTACAGCGACTGGTTCACAAATGTCGGCATCAACTCTTTCACCCGTGCTGGTAAGGACCGTATTGTTGCACTGTCTCTACCCCGATTATGCAATCCATGCTTCGGAATACACACTAATTCCGTGCGCTCCCTTATTGCGCAGGTAACCTCAAGAAGCCCACGCCTGAAGAAGTGCTGGGCGGCGGTCCTAGTGGCCCTCATCCAGAAAGCATTCAAGGTGACGGGCATCTCCTCTGCCCTCGACGAGAGCGAAGACCACCTGATCCTGCGCCATCTGAAGGCCTTGGCGCCGAACGAGGTGGACGTGACTGACGACGTCCGCTCTGTAGGGTCCGAGGGCGACAATTCCTTCTCCGCAAACGCCCCGGAGGAGGCCGAGGATGCAGAGCTGGCTGCGGAGGAGGAGGAGGAGGAGGAGGAGGAGGAGGAGGAGGAGGAGGAGGAGGAGGAGGAGGAGGAGGAGGAGGAGGAGGAGGACGACGACGAGGACGAGGACGAGGGAGAGGAAGAGGCTGAGGAGGTAGAGGCGGTTGAGGAGGAGTACATGGCGGAAAAGCTGGCGCTGGATGACGAGGAGGAGCTGGATGAAGAGGACTTCGACGACATCGATGCGTCCGTTGCAGCGGTGCTGTGCGGCATCAACCCCATGCCTACCGGGGTTGAGCAGAGCACCGCGCCAGAGGCACTTGAACCGTTGCCCCGTATGACAGCCGCTCAGCAGCTAAACGCCACAGTCGAAGACTATGGTGACTCCGCGGAAGAAGACGACGATAGTGAGGATGAGGATGGTGGGAAGTATTACAACAACAAGTACGATGTTTTCTGGAACATGCTGTAGTGTTTTCTGCTAGGATGTGTGAAGGCGTGCTCTAGTTTGCTGTAGCTGACAGGTTGCATACGAATTCTGACTGGTATCATGCTGTGTCATGTGCATCTAATGTTGTGACGTAGCTAATTGCTGTGATAGTGGTTAATATAGTGGAAAAAACGAGCTGGGGGGTCTTATACCGTCTACACCATCAAGGGGGGGGGTACACTCAGTCATACCACTGAGTTTAAGACCCCACCGCCAAAAAGACTCAATGGGGCTTTAACTAAGCAAGACTTATATCCGGGCGTTTACGGTAGATTCTAGTTCCTTCATTTCTGTATGGTCCTTCCGAGCCTCCCCAGCAGCACAAACGTGGGCAACTGCATTCCGAGGCCCCTCAGAACACACCTTATTCTTTCAACCTTCTTCCTCCTGACCCCCTCACTTGTGCTTGGCCCTCTGAAGCCTCACCAGCAGCACAAACGTGAGCAGCTTCACAGCAATTCCAAACACCAGCAGCACCACCAAGCACTGCCACTTCCCAAGTTGGTCAATGGACCGCTCCGTCAGCAGCTGCGGCCCAGTGAGCAAGCACGTCCCCGCACCCGCGGCCCCTGGAGTAGGTTGCTGGGGAGTTGAAGCGGCGGGTGGCAAGGTGCCTGGTGGAGCTCCCAAGGTGCTGTCAACGCGCATGTAGCAGAGGTCGGGCCTGAGGGGCGATTGGATGGAAAGGGGTGGCATGGGATGGAAAGGGGTGGCATGGGATGGGATGAAATGGGACGGGATGGGATGGGTATGGGATGGGATGCGATGGGATGGGATGGGATGCGATGGGATGGGATGGCATGGGATGGGATGGGATGGGATGGCATGGCATGGCATGGCATGGGATGGGATGGCATGGCATGGCATGGCATGGTATGGCATGGGTTGGGATTGGATGGGAGGCGGCGCAACTTCACCTGCACCTCACCTGTCATATTGGTTGATAGCGAGAGCTTCATAAGCGTGCTTATAATGAGCGCATTTGAAGGCCTTATATTGGTTGAAGGCATGTCAAACTTGGAGCATGTGACCTACAGCTCACCTGTCATATTGGTTGATAGCGAGAGCTTCATAAGCGTATTTGAAGGGCGACAAGTAGTGTAGCCATATGAGTGCCGGAGACATTTGAGTCCTTGTAACGTAGAAGCCACTAACGAGGTAGAAGTAGGACATGAGAGAGATGGCAGTTGCATATGCCAGCACAACACTGCAGGGGAGGGGAGGAGGGACGACGGGAGGGAAGGAAGGAGGGATGGAAGGAGGGATGGATGGAGGGATGGAAGGAGGGATGGATGGAGGGATGGATGGAGGGATGGATGGAGGGATGGATGGAGGGATGGATGGAGGGATGGATGGAGGGATGGATGGAGGGATGGATGGAGGGATGGATGGAGGGATGGATGGAGGGATGGATGGAGGGATGGATGGAGGGATGGATGGAGGGATGGATGGAGGGATGGATGGAGGGATGGATGGAGGGATGGATGGAGGGAAGATGAGGGAACCATGCGGGTTTCAACAGGCAGTGAGGGAAAGTGCTTTGGCAATTGGCAGAACACTGTAAGGGAGGGTAGGATGGAGGAAAAGTAAGGGAGGATGGCAGGAGGAGAGGGACAAGATCATAGGATGAATGAGATGTAATGAACCGACATGCCCATGCCATCATGCCCATGCCACACCTGTCCTGCCACACATGGCAAGATAAAGATGAAAGGGACACATAGAAGTGTAGAAGCCATGTTATGCAAATGAATAAGACGAGGGATGAACACGAAAAATCTTGGGGCAAAGAGAATCCAAATCTATGTACAGCCCAAGATTTCAGGGTCACTCACTCCTTGACGCAGATGCTGACACATGTCGCGATGGCATTCGCTGTGAAGAACATGACGAAACACGCGAGCACCATGAAGAGAAAACCCTCTGCGCCGCCCGCCAGGCTGATGCTTCCCCATGAGACAGCCGTGAGAAGCAGCGCCATGAGGAAGTGCAAGGGCAGGTAGACCAGGGTTGCTGACACCAGGTAGGTTGACGGCCTGTACGCGTTATTGGCAGATTCCCTTGTGAATATTGCGCATTCCTGGTGGTGTGCAGAGTAGCAGGTTGAAATGAGGGGGGGTACAAGGCGGACGTATATCAGTGAATATAACCTCTATGAATGAACCCTCAACGAACGTAACCTCAAAGAGTGTAGCATGTCTCAATGAATGTAACACTCGTCATCAAAATGTAACCCATCGAAACAACTGCAACTTACCTCGATGAATATCGGCACATCATCGCAGGAGGTTTGACAGTTAATGCAGCTCGCAGACGACAGGAAGGACAGCCGAAGCAGCTCCCCCTCAGAGCTGATTATATTGGCATGGCAGAAAGACTGTACATACCTCTATGAATATCGGCACGGCATCGCAAGAGGTGTAGAAGACAATGCAGGTCGCGCATGAGAGGAAGGACAGCCGAATCGACGCCCCCTCCGGCCTGCAGTGTTGAAGTGAACCGGGGACCCGCGCATGGACACACACACGGAAAGCTTAGGAGGGAGATGCCAGAGGGGGATGGCAGATGGGGATGGCAGATGGGGATGGCAGATGGGGATGGCAGATGGGGATGGCAGATGGGGATGGCAGATGGGGATGGCAGATGGGGATGGCAGATGGGGATGGCAGATGGGGATGGCAGATGGGGATGGCAGAGGGGGATGGCAGATGGGGATGGCAGATGGGGATGGCAGATGGGGATGGCAGATGGGGATGGCAGATGGGGATGGCAGATGGGGATGGCAGATGGGGATGGCAGATGGGGATGGCAGATGGGGATGGCAGTGGGAAACGGAAAAGAAGCACAGTTATGCAGAGTGATTCCCAGTTGATGGTGCCTTATCCATACTCCAACCATTCTAAGGCCCTCACTTGACCTTCCCATTTTGCACCAGACCTGACCATGTACTTTCCAGGCTTGGCACAAGAGCAGACCGTCCATTTCCCAAGCCTGCCACCTGGCCGACCACCCATTATCAAAGAACCAGACCCCCCCAGCCATGTCATTTCTACTTACGTTTCTTCTGGCTTCCAGAACAGAATCGCTAGCAGCACACTCGTTATAAGGATGAGCGCCAGCCGCAGCAGGTACAGCGCAGGAGTGCGCATGATGTTCACTGTAGCTCTCCTGGTCAGCACCATCAACTCCCCAAACCATCCGTTTGCGTATTGCTGCCCCTTAGGCTCATTCTCCTTCCCCCCTGTCTTCGTCGGCTGTTCCTCCTTTCGCCCTTTGCCGAGCTGCCCCCATCCCAATTTCCCCCTGGGAGACTTTGGGGTAACCGCATCGCTCGTAACCGCCAACGCCTTCCGACTCGCTGCTACAGGGTCGGAAACGCCGGCTTGGCAGGCTTGGACGTAGGCTTGGATGTCTGTAACACCCTGGGCCTGTAGCACTGCCATGACGTCCAAGCCATGCTCTGTGCTGTTGGATCCCTCTGGCACCGGGCTGCCAAGAGACGAGAGGAAATCCGGAAGGCCGGCAGGTGGGCCCAGATAAGCCGTCTGGCCCACGCCCAGCAGGAGAAGCTTGTCGATGAGGCTAAGGACTCTATATGATGGCTGGTGTGGGGAGGGGGAGGGGAGGGGAGGGGCATTAATGGAACGTGTGTGGGTGTAAAAAGATAAAAATTTCGTTAAATATGGTGTTGCAAAAATGAGACATAGATTTGTTTGCATGTGTACTGACCTGATGAATCACCATCACGGAAATGCTTGCTGTCTGGATGGCGACGGACTTAATAGCGCGTACAACCCGAAACGCGTTGGTGGAATCAAGCCCTGAGGTCGGCTCGTCGAGAAACAGGATCTTGGGGTCGCTCACCATCTCCACCCCTATCGCCACTCGCTTTCGCTCGCCGCCAGAAACGCCTCTGCGAAAAACAACAGGGTAACGTTAGGGTGTGAGATTACGCGTAGTTCAAATACAAACTCGTTATAAACAGTGTCGTCTCCCGCCAACAAACTGAAAGCGAGAGTTCAGAGTTCAATATTTCAGGTTTCGGGACTCGCACCAACATCCATGGCACACGGCCTTCCAGGTTCGAAGCGGTTTTCCAGCGTCTGCCGCGATTGGCGCTCGCCTCTCCCCTAACGCCATCGGCCCTCTGAAAAGTTAAGTTACACGCTCACCTCTTCCTTTCGCCGCCAATCAGCGTCTCCGCCACTTTCGCGAGCCCAAGCAGATCGATCAGACGGTCAACCTTCTCCTCCTTTTCGCGTCGCGAGAATCTCGGCTCCACGCGAAGCTCCGCGGCGTACATGAGCGTTTCGCGCACCGTGAGCGACGGGAACAGCACGTCGTCTTGCATCACGTACGCGGAGACGTGCCGCATCATCCCCGCGCTCACCGTGACCGCGCCTTCCCCCGCATCCAGCTCCACCGTCCCCTTCCGCCGCCCGGAGGAGATCCGCTGCGCCAGGATGTTCAGCAGCGTCGTCTTTCCGCCGCCGCTTGCGCCCATGATCGCGGTCACCTCCCCCGACCGTGCCTCGCCGTTCACGCCCGTTAGGATCTGCCGCCGAATGCGCTTACGGCGCATCCCCCCGATCCCGACGATCCCGCGTATCCCGCCGCTGCCTGGCGCGGCGCTGGTTCCGCCGCCTGCCGCGCTTTCACCCGCTCCCGGCGCACTAGCTTCCGCGACAGCAGCAGGCGCACTAGCCGTTTGAAAGCCTTGCTGCGGCAGTCCGGGGAAGTTCGCGAGCGTGCTGTCCTGCCGCGCGAACTGCGGACCGGCGGCGGCGGAAGGCTCCCCCTTGCGCTGCTTGACGAACACGGAATACGAGATGTTGCGGAAGGTGAGCACGGAAGCGCCGGGGGCGGCGGACGCCGACGGCACGCCGGCGGACGGCGAGTACTTCTTGCTGGCGGCGTCGCGCTTGAGCGCTTCGACCTCGATCGTCAGATCCTCGGACGACGCCGTGGAAAACGCGTCGTCGTCGTCGCCGGCGTCGCCGCGAAAGTCGTAGCCGTCGAACGACGAGTCGTCGTCGTCGTAGTCTTCACCGATGTCTTCGACGGTAACGTGATCACGGTTGTAATCCGGAGGCCACTGCGGGGCAGCGGCGGTGGGTGCTGCCGGTCTAGCCATTCCGGATCTAGTAGTTCTATCAATAGATCAGGCGAAAGTGACTGGATGAGGGTCAAGCTGAGGGTCTGCCTGTGAGTCGGGCTGAGGATCTGGCTGAGAGTCGTGACGGAGGGAGACAATGGGATTTTTTATAGATAAAGGCGTTCGAGCCGCTTATGAGAGACCTAGTCTGATTGAGCGAGAAGGGACGGTACGCCTGCCGCGAATGTATGAGCTGAGAATGGGCCTCTAAATGCAGGGGCAGCGAACTGGCTGCAACACCAGATTGTCACCTCGTCAAATGCCAAGTCAGCTGAAGAGTTACTGGGATGAATTGCTTGTGAAGCTACACAGGCACACAGCGTCGAAGGAGGCAGAGATGTATATAATTGCGCTCCCACTCCGCATGCTCTCTCCATCTGGACTCCTCAGACGTGTTCAGCACCCGGCGCGCCAGCCGACTTGGCTTCACTGGAAACCAGACTGAGGGCTTCTGTTGGGAGCTAAGGGGAGACTTCACGGCTTCCTTCCTAGTTCCGACGTTGAACCGCACTGGAATCCACTGTAACGTACGAAACCACTAGCAGATTGCGAAAAACGCATCAGTACAGAACACGGCTGCGACCTATAACGGTGCGGGGGAGGCAAGCTCATCGGCCAGAAGGCAAGCTCATCGGACGGGGGAGAAGGGACTGAAAAACCAATAATTGCGCGGTTCGGACTCAGAAATCCGATTCGAGGTTCGGTAAAGCCCTCTGCGAAGTCATCAGAGTCCAAATGCGCTGATATCGAGAGTTGAAAACGAGTGTAGATCATGGGACTGTATATACTAACACCCAGTACAGCCCTGACTTTCGGAAGTCCAGGCTCGGCCCGACAATTCAGGTTTGAGCTACGTTCGAGACCCCAAGCCTACACGCGGCGTCACGTCCGACACTGCCGAGTCCCGAGGCTGCCCGAACCACCTCGCGCGTGATTCGTGGCCTTTCTTGAGGCTCTCTTGCTAGGCTAGCTGTGCTTGTATTTAGCCATGTGCTTCATTTGTACTTGACACACTTTAATCACGACCTCACTATTGCATTACTCGACTCCGATCCGGATATTATCATAACAGCTGGTATCAGAGCCACGTTCCTGCCCGTTTAGGCTTCCGCAGTGAAGTAGTTCTAGAGGGACCTCGCACGTTAGGAAACATGAGTTGTCCAGCAGTCGTGCAGGAACTTCTTCAGTTCCGCCGACTTTGTCGTGTGCGCTCCACGTCGTTAACGGTGCACGTGCCCGTAGTGTCTTTAGTAGCGTTAGCTAGTTAGGGTAATTCATGGTCAATAGCCCTCCTCGCCGTAGGACTAGAAATACTGTATGACTCCCGAGCAAATAGCTCAGTTGTCAGAGGCGGCGGCAAGCGCATCCGTACTGACGACGAAGGTTGGCAAAATGATGGCGAAGATGGAGGTCATGGCCATCGAGCTCGCTGCGTTGAAAGAGGAGAATGTAAGCCTTCGCCAAACGCGTGGTGCGACGCGTCACGAGTCGCCTGTTACCGTGGACGAAGATCGTGCGAGCGCGCATCAACCGCAGGCGACGTCAGCGAGACGTGACGACAGTTCGAGTGAGCGAAGGGCAGTTGTGAAGATAAAACCTGCCATGCCACCACCGTTCAACCTCCTGGGAAAAAACACCACGATGAGTGGGTGGCTGTTCGCCATGGAACTGTTCTTCAATGCCGCCGACGCCAACGACGATGAGACACGCGTCAAACGGGCAATGTCTTTAGTACGCGGACCTGCATTAAGTTGGTGGCGACAGTACGTGACGTCACGAGGGACTCCGACAGACTGGCAACAGGCGATGGACGGGGAGCGACGATTGGCTTCAACTTCTACAGGATCCTGTTTGGTGTGGCCAAGATCCTTACCTGGCAACAGTGGGGTGCACTGCTTCGCCGGCGCTTCGAGCATGTATCCGCATGCGAAAACGCTCATGTGAAGTTGCCCGGATGGCGTCAACTGGGTTCCGTGCTGGAGTATGCGTCATCTTTCCTCGCCATCTGCGACAAAATCGATGATCTACACGAGACGGAGAAGACAAGTCGATACATCATAGGGCTGAAACCGGAGGTCCAGCGCAAAATTCGCACGCGTCGCCCGGCGACGTTCCTGGAGGTGAAGCAGGTTGCAGAGGCGTGGGACGAGAACAGTGTATGGCCGAGGACAAATTTATGGGAGGGAAGTCATTTTTGAGGGCAGAACAGTTACCCATCCATCAACGGCGTGGCGGCACTATCAGATAACAGATTTTCTGGCAGGTGTTATACAATTTGGCCAGCCGGGTCACATCACGCGGAACTGTCCGGAGTTGCAGAAATCAGGAGCAAACGACGGAAGGAAGCCGGGAAATGGACAGCATCAGTAGTAGTCGGGCCCCCTACTTATAAGGCTTCGTTGCCCGAAGATCACCATTCCCACCGAGTCGTAATGCCTATCTATGCGATCGACCACACCTGGTTAAAGGGGAGTGAACCTGTTGACTGCCCGGCGCTGGTGGAAGGGCATATTGGCAACACCAGATTAAAAATATTTGTGGACGGTTGAGCATCACACAGTCTGTTCGATGTGACAAGAGCGAAGAAACTGCAACTGCAAACGGAGAGGTGCATGCCCGAGATTGACGCGAGGTTGGTCGACGGCACGCCACTTGCAATACGGGAGCGGGTAAAATATGCTCGCATTGATTGTGACACCTAAGTGAGTTTTGCCATGAAGATGTTGGCGACAACGTTGGACGGCTTCGATGTGCTCCTGGGGTGCGATTGACTTCGCACGTACATTCCAAGCATCGATTGGAGGAATGGCGGCATTTGTTTCAAGTGGGGTGGCGGGTGGCGACGACTGCCAAAGTGGAAACCACCTAACCCTCAGTCGACACTGGTGAACAATGTGACTATCAAGCATGTAATGGCATGCGACATGGACGTCTACGCCGTCCGATGGATCGCATCAACGGAGGTGGCTGAACAGACCGACCTAGAAAATCTGTGTGCTGCTGTACCTGAGGACCTGGCGAAGATCATGCGCAAGTAAGAGAAGATTTTTCCTGATGACCTGCCGCCCGGCCTGCCACCTGAATGACCACATGATCACAAAATTGAGCTGGAACCTGGCGCGCAGCCGACCGTCCGATCGCAATGAAGGCTGAGGCAGCCGGAGCTGATGGAACTGCGTACGCAACTGGATTATCTGTTGGAGAAAAAAATTGTCCGCCCATTTACATCACCCTACGCCGCGCCGATTCTCTTCACCCCAAAGAAGGACGGAGGACTACGGATGTGTACCGATTATCGAGCGCTCAACATCACCATCAATTCCCGTTACCCGATTCCGCGAGCCGACGATCTCATAGACCAACTTCGCGGGGCCAGAATTTTTTCCAAGATTGATCTACGAGGAGGTTACCATCAGATTCTTGTCGCCGAAGCTGATATTCCGAGGACTGCTTTTCGAACCCGTTACGGAAGTTACGAGTATAGAGTGATGCCATTTGGGCTGACGAACGCACCCTCAACTTTTCAACTAACCATGAACGAAGTCTTCCGCTCGCTACTGGACAAGTGCGTCATCGTTTACCTGAATGACATCATGGTGTACAGCATCTCGCGCGAATATAATTTAACGGACCTGGAAGCAGTTTTTACCCTCTGCAATCAAGACCAACTCATCACCAAGGGCTCTAAGTGCGAGTTCTTAAAAGAGGAGCTGGAATTCCTGGGCCACGTCATCTCAATCGAAGGCCTTAAAATTGACCCGAAAAAGAACGACAATATTCGCAACTGGGAACCGCCTACGAACGTTAAGGAGCTACAAAGTTTTATGGGGTTCGTCAACTACGTGCGCCGCTTTATCCCTAAAATGGTGGAGTCAACAGCCCCGTTAACAGACTACTTGCAGAAAGGAGTTTTTTTATGAGTGGGGGAAGAGGCAGCAAGCTGCGTTTGACCAACTCAATTTTTTCCTCATGACACCACTCGTTCTTCGTATCTCCGAACCCGACCACCCATACGAACTGATTACGAACGCCAATGACATCCGTTGGTGCGGTACTGTTACAAGACTTTGGCGAAGGCCTGCAGCCAAGTGCCTACGACTTGCGGAAACTCCAAGGCGCTGAACGAAATTACATGGTTCACGACAAGGAAATGCTCACGATCGTCTATGCTTTCAACACCTGGCGCTGCTACCGATCTGGTGCCGACGTTAGTGTCCAAACAGACCACAAGTCCCTACAGTTCCTCCGAGCCCAACCGACCCTCAATCCATGACAGATTCGTTGGCTCGAATAACTCGAGTCCAACTTCCACTACCGCATCACCTACAAGAAGGGGGCAAATAATATTGCCGATGACCTATCCCGCCCTACGGCCCATACAATCGCCGTACTAATCGCCCAAGCTAGCCCGCTGCTAACTAGAATGTTTACCTATGGCTACAATACGGATCCTCTCTTCACCTCTAGCGGCCACCAGGCCCTGACCACTCAACGAGGCCACTACCACCTAAAAGCTGGTACTGACCGAATTTGGGTTCCATCCTACCGACTGTTATAGGAATTAGTGATACAGGAGGTTCATGACGCTAATTGCCCAGGACATTTTGGGGTTGATAAAACCTTGAAATGCGAGCCACGACGTGCAGCAATATGTGGCCTCATGTCCCACCTGCCAACTGATGAAATCCTCTTGCCAAAATCCAGCTGAATTATTGCAACCGTTAGAACCGCCCACCAAGCCTTGGACACACGTGTCCATGGACTTCGTGACAGGACTGCCGGCGCATCCCAAAATGGTGCTGTACTCGTGGTCGTTGACAGACTCACAAAAATGGCTCATTTCGCGCCATGCCAAACGACGATCACAGCCGAGCAAACTGCCAAGCTGTTCATCTCAACCGTCGTTCGCCTGCACGGAATCTCGACGGCGATTGTGAGCGATCATGACCCCCAATTCACATCCAACTTCTGGACAAAAATGTGGGAACAGTACCGCACACGTCTCCATCTGTCCATGACTTACCACCCAAAGATCGACGGTCAGACTGGACGGACAAATCAGACCATGGAGCAGCTGATACGGACAACCTGTACCAACCCGACCCAATGGGAAGATTCCCTTCCTCTAATCGAGTTCGCGTATAACAACGTCCCTTCGTCAACGATTGCCCAATCACCGTTCTACCTAAATTACGGTCTAAATCCCACGACTCCCACTACACGGTTAGTTGAGAGCCTCGCCCCACGATCGCAACAGTTTGTCAAGGACTTACAGACTGCACAGAAAAACGCTACCGAGACCATTTCAAAAGCCAACTTTACGGCCAAACGGTACGCGGACATGCATCGACGAGGTTTACCCTTGTCTCCAGGGCAACTATTCCTTCTGGACACCAAGAATTTGGGGTTGAGTTTACCACATAAACTCCGGCCGAGATTTTGTGGGCCCTTCCGAATTGTCTGAATGGTGACACCTGTCACTGCCAAGTTACGATTACCGGTCGACTGGCGTATCCACGATTCATTCCACGTTAGTCTCTTTCGACAGTCTGTTGCAAACACGGCTGATCTCGACCGTCAACGACTCTACCCTTCGATCAGACCCGTCCCTGAGCCAACCACCGAACCACAACAAATCATCTCCCTGAACATGTGGGTCCCGGCTGCTACCCTCGACAACCACTCATTGGTGCAGGCTTATTTACACGATTGGGCTGCCCCAAATGTGGTTAGTCTCGTGTAAGAGGGGGGAAGGTGTAAGGAAAATCCCTCGCTAACATCGAGTACAACCTCGACTTTCAGAAGTCCAGGCTCGGCCCGACAATTCAGGTTCGAGCTACGTTCGAGACCCCAAGCCTACACGTGGCATCGCGTCCGACACTTCCGAGTCCCGAGGCGCTCCGAACCACCTCGCGTGTGTTTCGTGGCCTTCCTCTAGGTTCTCTTGCTAGGCTAGCTGTGCTTGTATTTAGCCCTGTGCTTCATTTGTACTTGACACACTTTAATCACGGCCTCACTATTGCATTACTCGACTCTGATCCAGAGATTATCATAATACAAAACAATAAAACAAATATATGTGTAGCAGCATAAACTTCACATTAAATTAACACACAAAAATGCTCACACCAAATGCCCTTCACTTTTATTTGGTACCATGTAGCTTTATATGTACTCTGGTCACTACAAAATGTTCCAAGCACCGCAAAACACATTTTTTCTCTGCCCTTCTATTTAATTCCCCACACTTCCACCTGCCCTGTGAAGCCTCACTACCACGACATACGGTAGGTAAGTAGTTTCACAGCAAGCCCAGTCACCAGCAACACCACCAAGAAATCTTACTTCCCCCGCTGTTCAACCGACCGCCACACCAACAGTTGCTTCCCAGTCAACAAGCATCCCCCTATATCCGCCCCATCCTTCTCCACCTGCACTCTCAATTCCAGCGGCAGTTCTATCACTGGTGACTTGGGGCTTGGGCTGCTAGAGAAATCATAGAGGATCTCCTCCCCTAAGGCTGTTCTGGAGTTGGAGTGTCTCGAAAAGAGTCTTCTACTGGGCTAATGGCAAACCCTATGAGTTTGGCCTGTCGCAGATGTTGATGGGAAGACTTAGCATGATGACGGTGGTATTCATACAGCAGGGCTTGGATCTCGGAAAGAATGGATGGGTGGAGAGAGATTGTGGGGTGAAATGCCTGAAGGATTTTTTTTCTCTCTCTCTGTCTCTCTCTCTCTCTCTCTCTCTCTCTCTCTCTCTCTCTCTCTCTCTCTCTCTCTCTCTCTCTCTCTCTCTCTCTCTCTCCCTCTCTCTCTTAGAACAGTGGTTAGCGACTGTGTTTCTGAGATGGTACCAGAGCCAAGTGGTCGTCGTGTCTCTCCTCGTGCTCGTAGCCATCCTATGGCCCTTCGTTCTTGTGCTCCTCCCATCCCCGTCCTACAGTTCCCTCCCCAGTCGTCCGTACCCCTGTCCTCTGCTCCTCCCTCTGACTTTGCTCCCACTGCTCGTCCAGTCGTTTTCCGCTTGCTTGCCTCGCTTGTAACTTACCCTACCCTTCCTTCAGAGGATGTCTCTGCCCTCGTTGCCGCGAGCCACCGCCTTAATTATGCCTCTGCTCTAGTCTTTGACTGACCCTACCTATCCTTCATCCGTTGGGGCTGCACCTGCCCTTGACAATAACGTTCTAGTGGTTAGGCAGTACGAGCTAGCTCTTATTGCAGCTGCTGTACCTCATCTCTGAGCCATGATTGTGTCCCCTTCAGGGTGACCCAAATGCCATGGACATCCCTATCCCATGCTCGTATGCTGAGGCGGTCTCGGGTGCCTGGGGAGCCAAGTGGATATAGGCCATGGAGGCAGAGATGGCATCTTATAGACCCACGGGCCATTACGTCGACGCAGTTCCTCCACCTACAGCGAACATAGAGGATGTCATGTGATCTATAAGGTGAAGCGCCCACTTGGAGAGCCGCTGTAGTTCAAGGCGCGGTATGTGGCCAGGCTTGAGTCAGCGAGAGGGTGTGGACTTTTTCCATATCTTCTTCTCTACCCCAAAGATTACTAATCTTCGGGTGCTCCTCCACCTAGCCGCACAGTGTAACTACGAGCTTCACTCTCTGGACTTCTCCACAACTTTCCTGCAGGGTAGTCCGTACGAGCAGTCTGCACCGGATCCTTCGCTCCTGGGACCCAGCGGAGCCTGCGCCGCCCTGTCTATGGTCTGCGTCAGGCGCCCCGTGAGTGGCATAATACGATCCGCACCACACTCGTGACTCTTCACTTCTTCCCATCCTTTGCTGACCCGTCGCTCTTCGTTTGTGCTGTTCAAGCTCCGTTCTACATACTTGTGTACGTAGATGACCTCAACTCTACTACTCCAGACAGAGTCACACTGGCCTCAGTGAAGTTCGAGCTGCTCAGGGGATACGCCTGTACAGACCTAGGAGAGGTGCAGTGATCGTGCAGCGCACATAGTCACATTTTCCCAATCCCACATGGTGCAGCAGATCCTCCAGAAGTTTGGTCTTTAGTTCTTGTCGGCACAACCCACTCCCTTGCCTATGGACCACAATCTCTCTGCTCCTGTTTCCTATGAGGAGGTCGAACCTAGTAGTCCATATGCATAGCTAGTGGGGTGCCTCATCTACCTGATAACTTGAACTCGTCCAGATCTAGCGTACCCTTACAGTATCCTTGCGCGCTTTGTTGCGACTGGCAGACACCGACCTGAGCATTGGTCGGCTGCCACGAGGGTTTTGCGGTATCTGGCGAGTATATGAGGAATGGAGCTTATGCTAGGATGATGGGAGCCAATGGTCCTCACTGGACACACAGATGCATCGTGGGCTAACGACTTGGAGACATTCAGGTCCTCACAGGGCTACTGCTTTTTCTTGGTGCCGGTGCAGTTTTGTGACGGCTTACTAGGTCGTCGTCTGTAGCTCAGCTCAGTCATGAAGCAGAGGTCTATGCTGGGGCTATGGCCCCTTAGGTGCTCCGCTGGCTGGCGTTCTTGCTTACTGACTTAGGTGAGCGGCCTAGGTCTGCCTTGGTTCTGTTTGCTGATAATAGGGCCATGATCCTCCTGTGTCAGGAGGCTCGACATGAGGGCAAGGCCAAGCACATCCTGCTGCGGTACTTTCTGCCACATGAGTTGCAGCAGTGCGGTCAGGCCCGCGTGGTACAGTTGGTCTCAGAGGCGAACACTACTGAAATCTTCACCAAGGCCCTTGGGCCTCGTGACCATCAGCAGTTCCATACTCAGCTTGGTCTAGTTTCAGTGGCCTCACACTTGCTTGTATATGCTGTGTCTATACCGGTTGTCTTGTTACACTTGCTGACTAGCCTTCTGGCCCTTTACTGAGTAGCCAGACTAGTAGTGCTGCCCTGAGGTGCTTGTTACATCCACCAAAGGCCAGACTAGTAGTGCTGGACTGGTTTGCTGTATGTTGTTAAATATGCCCCTACCCAAGCTAGGGGGTGTGTTAAAGTTCTTAAATATTTATATACTAGGTGTATATGAATGATTGCCTCGCTAGGTGTATTTCTTAGAGGGGATAAGACTTATATACAAACTCTGTGCTCGCCCTTTAGCTAGTAAACTTTTCACTTGCGATAAACGTGTACTTGGATGCGCACTAAGCGAGTTAATGAGAGGGATGGAGAGAGCGACTAGGGAGTTTGGGGGTGTGACAGGTCCATGTTTTAACGGAAGCTGAAATGAATGTCTGATCAATTGAATGAATACAAGCAAAGACACAATCCTATTTATACAGTACCTACGAGAACTCTAGGGAAGGATAACTAGGACCTCCTAAGAGAGTTCTAGTGGAGAGCGGAACCATCCGTAGGAACACGATCTAGAAGCACTGTAGGGATTCTTGAGATACAGCGGCAGAGATGGAACACTCCACGTAATAGATAACGTGTCACGCAAGGAAAGTCTGAAACACTCTAACACATATGATGTATGGGAAAGAGTGCAGGGATTTCTAGGAAAGTTAACCATACAAAATAAGACACGATAAACAGCCAAAATGCAAATGGTTGTGATAAAGGATTCAGCAAGCCTCATCCTCTCACACTTCCCCCCCTCAAAACAGGGTAGATGCTGAAGGCGCTCAAATTTTCAGCAAACGTTGAGGGATGAGAGGCTCAAAGTAGTAAAAGAAAATCAAGCCAACAAAGTTGTGCTTGAACAGCAACTCCTCAGTACTTTATTCCACACACTCGTGATGTGAAAGTACAACCACGTTACACTTCTTTCTCATTTCCATAATTCTCCTCTATCTCATTCGTCTTTCTATCCTCACTCATTTGGTCTTTATGTTTCCTATTCCTCATTTTCCATTATCCTTTGGTTTCTCCTATCATTATAATTACGTCATCGACCAGGCTCGGGATATACTGGCTCGCTATATGTGGCATAATCTTGCCGTAATCCCTTAAAGCCAATAGCCTCGCATGGCTATACGTAGGGTGATTCTATTTCTAGAAGGGTCTATTCCCTTTGGATAGGATAAACCTGGTTACGTGATTTTCCTTGGAAGTATAAAAGCGCCCTGTATGAATCGATAGTGCACCTTTTCCTCGATAAATTCGATCATGCAACACTTGGTAATAAGAGCTTTTCTCACTCAGCTGCACTCAGCTAAGCAGCAGCAGCGGGAAAACCAGCCTCGAAAAACCGCAGGGGGCGACTAATTCGGCGCCGATTCTGGTAAGCACCAGCTCCGCGCGTGTTTTGAACATGATGGCGAACTTTGACAACACCAAAGTTACCCGACAGCTCTTCGCGCGCATCGCCGCCCTACAGGAAGAGATGCGAGCCGACCGCGAAGCTTGGCAAAACGAGTTCGAGCGACTAACGCGACTCGCCGGCGCGCAGCACGAAACGACCAGGCAACGTCGCAGCAGTCGCACCAGTTTCTTGAGGCTCCCAAGCTGCGCCCACTTGAGCCGTTCGATCCGAGATGTCCGCAGATGGATCGCCAGCATGGAGATCTACTTCACAGTTGTCGGATGGAGCTCGCCGGTCTGGGACGGTCAGCACGTGCGCGACTCGCGGCGACACTGATGCAAGGGCCGGCAATCGAGTGGATCGGCGGCAACTGTACGTTCATCCACAGTGAAGCCACGTGGCAGCAGTTCCGCACCGACCCGCTCAAACGTTTCAAGCCGATAAATTCAGGTTTCCTTGCTCGGGAAAAAAAATCATCGCCATCGACAGTTTGGGAGTGTAGCGTAGTACACGCAGCAGATGGAAGAATTTTATAACCGTAATCCCGACCTGACTGAAGGGGAAAAAGTACAGTCGTATCTTGTCGGGCTGAAGACCGAAGTCAAATGACAGGTAGCCGTGACAAGTCACGCGAGTTACTGCGACGTATAAGCAGCAGAGCGGTTTGACACGGTCAACGCCGGAACACGACGGACGCACGTCGGCAGTACGCGATAGGGCAACTGCTCAGCACACCCTACGTTTGCCGACCCGATGGAAATCGACAAGTTCGACAGGCAGCCACGTCCAAGCACTTGTGGACAGTGGAGCGTTATACACTGTATGCAACAAGGGAGCAATCGACCGACTTTAGGTAGAGAGCAAGCCTTCAGCATTCTCTGCAACGATGGTGGACGACAGCAAGTTACCAGTCTACGGCGAAGCAGTGTTACATCTATAAATCGCTCCACCAACGCACCGGTAACCTTCCAAGCTGAAATGAACCACATCCTATGCCCACTCTTGGGGCAAAAGCGTGGTGGTGTACCTGGATGACATCCTCATCTACTCACGTGACATGACGCAGCACGTGGAACACCTGCGACGCATCTTCGATATTCTTCGACGGAACGTTTCTACGTTTCTACGTTGACCCCAAGAAGATCGAAGCCGTATGCATGTCGTAGACACCCGAGAATGTGAAGGAATTGCAGCAGGTCATAGGCTTCGCCAACTATTACAACAGGTTCGTACCAGAGTACGCGAAAATCGCTGCACCACTCACGAATCTACAGAAGAAGAATACGCCCTATAAATGGGAATCAAAACACCAGGAAGCCGTGGAGCAGGTGAACAAGCACTCACGTCCACACCCGTACTCATCTTGCCACATCCCGAACGCGACTACGTCATCGAAGCTGACGCTAGTGACCAGGCAGTGGGAGCAGTCTTGATGAAAGACCAGGGGAATGGCCTGCAACCCATCACCTGCCTTAGCAAGAAATTGCACGGGGCAGAATTCAATTACCCATACACGACAAAGAGGCCCTCGCTTTTATCATCACCTTCAAAACGTAGAGATGTTATCTCGAAGGACGAAAAACAACCGTCTACACCGACCA